TTCCACAAATAACATAATTAAGAATCAAATCCATTATAGAAACAATTAAACATCAATTTTTCATACACACCATTGCAAGGATAAATAAATAAGACAAAATCAAAATTTATTTTATTGCGGAAAAACTTGTCCTTACAATGTAATTCAACTGAAAAACTATGCTCTTACATATATTTCTTATCAATCTATCCTAACTCTAGAGTAGCAGCTCAAAAATCTGATCCTCGAGTCCATGCGATCGAAATCCATTTCTTCATGATCAGATTCAGCACGCTTCTGCCTTAAGCTTCCTTTCTTTTCTTCGATCCTGCAAAAACATCAAAATGTAATCTTATCACATCATGTATTAAGAATCAAAGAATAGGAACTTATAGAGTTAGTTAATAGATTTTACCTGAAGTAGAGCCATACGTGGCTGACTCTCCCATCTCTTCGATCTCTCAGGTAAACAGGGCAGCTTCGTCTCCAATGCCCCTTCTCTTGGCAGTAGAAGCAGATGGACTCTTTTGGAATGGCACAAGGAACTATCTCAGAATTTACCTTTTCTGGATTTCCAATGTCACCATTTTCAATGTCCATTGAAGTTTGGGAGTTTGATTTGCCAGACAAATTTGCTTGATCAGCACGCCAAATCATTTCTGATTCAGCAGCTATAAGCAAATAGGTCAAATCAATGAGGGTCACGTCATGGTCCATCATCTCTCTAACGAACTCACTATATGATTCAGGAAGTGACTGAAGAACCCAGTCAACAGCCAACATTTCTGAGATATCGATACCCATCATCCTTAACCTATCAATGTGTGACTTCATCTCTAAGATGTGTGCACACACAGGTTTCCCATCTTCGTGTTTACTTGCCAAAAGGGCTTGAGTGAGCTTGAACTTTTCAAGCCTTTGAACTTGTGGGTTAGGGAGAATAATTGGAGGAGGTGGAGGAAGTGAAGCATGACTCTCATTTCCTTGATCGTATCGTGGAACGTCATCTTCATTTGGAAAGCTTGTTCCAAGGGACTTGGGAAGACCATTGAAAGATTTAGACATCTACAAAACGGGAGAAAATTCAAGTTAGTTGATAAGAATCCTTGATGTAACACCCAAATGAAACATCAAGGCTAGGATCCAACACAACATTCTACAACCTAGAAGAGGGATGTCGTAATCTAGTTGCAGAATGTTTGAAGGTAGGTAAATGACGATTTACCAATTTCCACCATGAAAAACGAAAAAGACTTTTAAGTTTTAAATGAATTGAAACTCCTAGATCTTTTGAGATTCATTGAACTTTTCAATGGCATGTTTAATCTCGATTATGCCCTTCAAGTTTGCGACTGGGATGCCGAGGATCACAAACAAGGTGTGAATAACCATACGAATCACGTGGTGCACCCAATTGCTACTATCACCTAATCAATGTGCCGGTTAACCACACACGCTCCATTGATCTATGATAAACATCGAGCCACCCTTCGCCACCAATGTCAATCCCAAATTTAGCGTGCCGGTTAACCACACACGCTCCACTAACGTTTGACAAGGGTACGAAGTGTAATTCCATGGATTAGCATACAAATTCACATTTTGCCCTAAAGTAACTAAGATTGGGAATTTGTAAAAGCATTTAGTTACTTTGTACTTCATTATACTTATAATGGAAGGTTTCGTCCTATCCTACCCGTTCGGCTAACGACCCTCCACTAGTCAAGAGTGCGGTGGGTAAGAGTGGATACCCATTCAATCGCCATTTTATAGGCAATTTCCTTAAACACCCCTTATAGACCAGCTTCGTGAATGAGGCCTACTAACGGTAAGACTGACTGTTTACTCATATATATGATATTAGACTTTTAATTTTATATATAGTATAGGATGTATTTTACACTTTTAAAATACTTCGTGGTTTTATCAACTTTCTCTTTTAATTAAACTTTTAATTAACTTAACAAAACCATGAGGGAGTGATTTGAACTTTTTCAAAATACTAGAGTTTTAGAATTTAAATATTACATAATTAAACTATTAATCTAAATTTTCAATTCCAAAACTTGAGGGCAAGTTTTGAAACATTTCAAAACATTAGGGTTTAGAATTTGAATATTTCAAAATTAGACTTTTAATCAAAAATTTAAATTCCAAAACTTGAGGGCAAGCTTTGAAACTTTTCAAAACATTAGGGTTTAACTATTTAAATTTCAAAAACAAAACTTTTAAGTTCAAATTTAAACTATAAACCCTAAAGGGAGTAATTTGAAACTATTCAAACTTACAAGAGATCAAATAACAAATAATATAAATCAAACAATTAATTTAATGATTATCTATATTCGACCTAATCCAATTTTAGTCACAAGATAATTACCAAATAATTTGAATAATCCATATTTATCATATAAAGAAAACAATTATTCAAAAGATTTGAAAATATCTTTTGTTTTGGTAAGGATAATCATTTACATACAATAAAATTCGGATTTTATTATCAAAAAACGATTTTGGCATCAATCCTACAGCAAAACAGCAAGTAAATCCCGAAATATACTCTGTCTGACTCCCGGACTCGCCGAGTCAGTCCTGAACTCGCCGAGTCCAGATACTGACTCGCCGAGTTGAGTCGGGCAGAGGCAAAAAAAGCGATTTTCAGCAGAAAAACGACAATTGCATCACATACAACAGAAACCAATCAAGTCTCTGATACCACTGATGAGTTTTATGCATAAGAACAATCTTATGTGCTAATACAAACCCTAATGCTTGGATCTAGGTTTCTCTATTGTACATGCAATGAATCCAAGACTTACAAACCCTAGATCTATCAAATAAGAACTGAAATAAGGGTTTAGTAATTACCTTTGATTGTTATATAGCAATAACAATCAATCCTTGCTTTGATTGGTTTCAGAAAGCTTAGTGCCTCAAGTGTTGCACCTCTAATGGAGTCACAAACACCACTAAGCAACTTGGATGAAGAGGGAGGAGAGAGGAGCCACCAAAAACGGCTGTAAACCCTAAAGGAAGTGTTCACCACGTTTTTGGGGGCTTAAGGGTCCTTTATATACATGTAGGCTATTAGGGTTTACAACTAGGAAACCCTAATCTGACTGCTTAAGCCCTAAGCAGCCCATGGACCCCTTCTGGAACATGCCTTGGACGATTTCTAATGGGCTTCCCCTTAGAATTCGTCCAACCTATTATTCCAAGATGATCCATAGCCCAATTATATAATTATCTTATAATTACACAACAAGTCCCTTAAGTTTAATTAATCTCTTTTAGCCACAAAATTAATTCTTAATTAATTCTTGACTAATATCAATTAAACATTATGATTTCTCCTTTAATATATTATTCTTATAATATATTAATAAATCATAATTAAACCTTTCTCTCCTTAATTCATCCTACATATTGCTATGGTGAAGGCAACCCAAAAGGACCATGCTCATAATCGGGTCAAGTACATACCAAAATAGTTATGGACTTAGACACTAATCCAACAGATTCTTCTACATTACACATATACATGGTGGTGATTGTTAACATGCTTATGAAAATGAAAGGTATGTTGGCGGATCTAGCCATTTTCAAAACCAGTTTTGTTGCGATTCTGATATCTTGTTGAACTTCAGTCGTCTAATCGAGAAGAAATCGATACAGAGATGGATATGTGGAAGTTGGAGCCATATACGACGATAGTTGTGTAATATAGACCGATACATCAACAACGATGGAGTTTGATTCTGTTAGAGTCAGGGGCGGTCAGCACCGGTGGAGTCGAGGCCACCAGATGTCGGCTCATCTAGAAATAGGAGAATAGGATCGTGAATGACATCAGCTCCAATGGAAATATGGTGCGTTCTCCGCCTGAGACTCCTCTGTGTCCTTCATGACCGATGATTGTTTTGGCGGCGTTTCAGAGCCCTAACTGGTCAATTAGGGCTTGAACTCTCAACTTCTTCTTTGTTTTTTATAACAGCCGAGGGATATGGTTGATGTAGGTGTTGGTCATTAACAGAGGTAGGGGTTGTCGTTGGAGGGAAGAGGGCGGAGGGAGGTGGTCTTCAGAGGTTGTAGGGAGGCAGTTGATGGAGAAGGGAGGGAGTCGGTGAACATGTGAAGAAATCGCGAGAAGGAAAAAGATACGAGATAGTGAAAGATTAATTTAGGGATTTTTACATTAATTGGGAATTTGTATTTTTAATTTTAAATTTGATTAATTAATAAGTATTTAAATTTTGTATACCATAATTACCCTCCTAATTTAATTTTAAATGTCAAGGGTACCATTAAGATTGTCGATAATTACAAATATGTCATCTTTGATCTAGGCCATTAAATTTTTTGATTCAATGTTCCACCTTTAGTTCACGGGTTCTCATGAACTATAAGTTCGCAAATGATCATTCCTCTCTCTCTCTCTCTCTCTCTCTCTCTATCTATATATATATATATATATATATATATATATATATATATATATATATATATATATATATATATATATATATATCACACTAAACTTACTTTGTACATACAACCTTTGTCGTCCCCCTATCAATTTTTAATTCATACTTTACACCTTATATTCATTTACTCAATCTTGCTTTTCATGATTACCTCTAAAACACTAAATTAAAGTGTGAAATAAAATACATTCAAGTTATAAGTTCGCCTAACTTGTCAATGTATATCTCCAAACAAAATACACTAAAATATGTTATGTGTGATCACATTTAACGTAACTAAAATTCTTTTATACAAAAGAAACCGTATTTATCTTTATAATAATATGAAGATAATAATCATATGACTATCGTTGGAAAGAGAACCCAAAAATGAACACAAGAAAAAAAAAAATCAAAACGAAAGCGTATACGCCAAAAAGAAAAATCATATGACGGCTGATGATGTACGGACAAACACCGAGTATTACGAAATTATACGTCAACTACAAGGGTAATAAAGTAAAATTAACTATAGCGTCTGCCTATCTTGAGGGTATATAAAAAAATACATATTTCTCCGTTACACTCTTCAACAATCAAGAATCAAGAATCAAGAACAAGAACAAATATTTTCCCCAAATTTTTACATACCCAGATTAACCCATTGCTTCTTGAGGTGGAACTCATTGGTAGAAATGTGTGGCGGTGCGATCATCTCCGATTTCATAGCACCTACGGCGAACCGGTCTCGCCGGCTGACCACCGACCTTTTGCGGAAGACTGAGTTTGTAAAGAACCCTAGCAAATGCTACTCGAAGCCCATACGATCTGAGATCTTTGATGTTGAAGATGAGTTTGAGGCTGCTTTTCAAGGATTTAAGGACGAAATCGAAGCCGAAGTTGTGGAGCATTTTGTTAGCCCTTCAAATTTGTCTGTCTCCAAAGGCTCTGGTAATACTTCTCTATCTCTTAGCAAATGGTTTATAACTATACTATTTTAATTTGTTTCATAAAAAAAATTGATTTCCCTGTAGCTCAAATTCGAAAGATAATGTTTTTAATTCATTAGATTTCGCGTTGATTTAATTAATGTTAAAATCATTAGATGATGATCTCTGAAGCTTTTCCATGCATTCTTGAACATCATATACCATATTACTTTCCTTTTCATGTCTTTTATTTTATTTCATTCCGATTCAGGCTCAAAACCTGTGAAGTCCGATAATGAACCTGAGAAATCAAGTTCAAGGAAAAGGAAAAACCAGTACAGAGGGATCCGTCAACGCCCATGGGGCAAATGGGCCGCAGAGATCCGTGACCCGAGGAAAGGCGTTCGTGTGTGGCTTGGAACTTTTAATACTGCTGAAGAAGCCGCTAGGGCTTATGATGAAGAGGCAAGAAGGATCCGAGGGAAGAAGGCAAAGGTTAACTTCCCATTAGAAGAGAAACCAGAAGTTAACCCTATTGCTGCTGCTACTACTATGGGGATTAAACCCAAACCATTTACTCCATCTGAGAGTGCAGCTGCTGTCTTTCACTTCAATTCTGATCAGGGGAGCAACTCTTTTGGTTGTTCTGACTTTGGTTGGGGGGAGCATTGTGTAATGACTCCTGATATTACATCTGTTTTCTCAGAGGTTGATGATGTGAATCCTGCTAAAAAACCTGAAAAGGTTGATGAGTCGCTCTTTCAGATGCCCTGTTTTGAAGGGAACTGGGATGCTTTCCTGAATGGAGATGCAGCTCAAGATGGTGGAAATGCAGTTGATCTTTGGAGCTTTAATGATCTTCCTGTCATTATGGATGGATCTTTCTAATCAACTGTAAAAATTTCGGCTTGTTATTTGTTGTTTTTAGTCTAGTAGATGGTGGTTGAACATATAATCATCAATTAATCTATTTGTTTTTTTGGTTCCAGATGTATTTGTTGGCGAATGGATAAAGCATGCTTAAGCCTTTGAATGGTGTATCAGTTTGCTTCGGTTCTATGCAGAGTATATAGCGTAACAGTGAGGTTTATTGAGATTGTAAGACCTTAATCCAATATTTCTATTGCTTATATCTGTATGGATGTCATCTTTTAAACACCGATGCTTGTTTTGCTTCAAAATGGTGTGGATTTTCTTGGGGTTATGAGCACATCGTGTTTGCTTGTTTCATTGATTTTGTTATGCGTGGATAACATGGATCGATTTAAAAGCATAAAGTAGTGGAGTGAAACTGATGAAAACTTGTTTAAATGGACAACAAGGCCATGAACATGCTTATAATGGATAATCTTAATGAGGTTTACCAAAAACCAATCAATATGTGATTGTAAATCTGCCAAGCATATATAGGAGACTTTATTTGGCCAAATAATACGAAGATGCACTTTCCCACATCGAAAGACAATTACTTCATGTGTGAATTTCAAAATGGGTATGGCCGTATGGGTAACGTACGATTTACATTTTGAAAAACAATTTTTTGTTTTTGTTTTTGTTTAATTAAAATATGTTTACTTTGGCAAAATTATTTTAGAACATTTAGCTTTGTCAAAATTTTAGCTTTTGGCAAAACTTTTAAACCGTTTAAAACCTTTTATAAAACTTCTTTTGTAATTTGCCAATGATTGCTTGTAAGTGGCTTTGTTAAATTTTAACAAAATTATTTAGTGTCCCCGATTTGTATTTTCAAGTTTTTTAACATTTAACTAAAGATAAAACAAAACTGAAACAACTAAAAAACACAAGCACATGCAAAAATTAACAAAACGATTTGTTAATCCTATACAGTTTCCTCATAAGCAAATATAAGAGAAAACTTGGTCATTAGTCTTATAAATGACTATATATGTTGGAGTCTTATTTCTATAGGCAGATCTAATATACATCCTGGGGTAGTCCGTGATGCCTCTTAAAAATTTTAGTGTAATTTTCTTTTCTTATTGTATATTATGCGATTTTTTTTGTCGAGGATATCCCTTTACTTGTTGGGATACCCCCTTTACTTTGACCTGGGCTCCGTCACTGCTCCCTTCTCTCCACAAGGGTTTTTTTGGAGAGACAATCTTGGGCTCCACGTATATTTATATGGTATTAGAGTTGTCGTTCCGCACCCCCGTGGCTCAGCACATCCCTATCTATCCTCATCGAGCCTCCGACTCTGAGGGGGAGTGTTAGAAGTTGTTTGTTTTTTTAGAAACCATATTCATACCACTTTTTGATGTGCGGTGCAGCACACACGCCGCACTTGCCATCTCGCAACAATTTATTTTTTGGAAGACTTCAGACTACTGTGTTCTGCTCCAAACAACACTTGACTTGCCTCTTTAAACCTCTTAAGCTTTCATTTTTCCAAATTTGGTATAACTTGATTTTTTTAAACTTTGATTTTTTTTAAAAAAAAAATTAAAAACTTTGATTTACGGATTTGATACAATTTTTTTTTATAACTTGATTATTTTTAAACTTTGATTTTTTTTTAATTTTTTTACCGCTTCTTTTAGTAATACGTGTGATTCTTTTACGAATTTTCTAGATATTGTTTCCAATATTTTCTTAATTTCTTTTTATAATTTCTTTTATGTTCTTTAAAATTAGTTTTTTTTTTTTTTTAAAATCTGATAGCTTATTTTACATTTTTTTTATAGATTTTTTTAGAAATTTTATATTTTTGTTTTTTTACATGTTCTTTTTAGTATTATTTCAATGTTTTAAGACTATAATTATTAAAATTTCGATGTTGAGAACTATTTTCAGTTTGTAAAATCAGTTTATTTAAAATTTAGTTTATTGCAGCAGCCTGCAGATGTTAAAAACAAGCATGCTTCTTATTAGAGCCTGCAACCGTTTGGTCCACTTCTTCTGTTGTAGATGGTTGCAGAGGTGGTCAGCGGACTTCATTAATTTTCACTTCGAAAAAACAAGTATATCCCACATCGATGAGGCACGGTCTTATAAGTGACTATATATGTTGGAGTCGCTCCCACATGAACTACCATCTTTAACGCATGGAATGTCCGCCTTTGAATAATCTTCATGATTTTCGTTTGGTTGTCTTAAGGATTCATTACTTTACAATTTATTTCTAATACAATTCTTACCATTCTAAACTATTTACAATTACAAGGAAAATTACGAAACGTAGGTCGCAAAATTACAATTAATAAAATTCAAAGCTCTAGTCAAGGTCAATCGTTTCTAGATCCATACAAATTAACACTTTGAACATTCAAAAGAATCAGGATTTGATTAAGATCGATTTTTTTACCAAACAAGTGTTTCTAGAAAAAAAAATATTTACCATATAAATATACTTTTAAACATATTTATCAAATGATGTGATTCAAGTTAAAAAAAAAAAAAACTATCTGCCCTAACTCTCTCCTTCTTACTGAGGAACGAATGCAAATCACTAAAAAAAATGATGCTCACCTTCATCTCCTTCTCCAGCCGCACCTTCATCTCCGACGACAACTTCCAACGACGATTCCACCATCTGCCACAACAGACGGTGCCCACTCCACCTCCCGCCACACCAACGATCAATTCCACATCTTCAGCCGATTCAATCACACGTTCGATTATGTTTGATTTCTGATTCCATCAGAACCTGCAAATTCTTGAAATTCCATCTTCATTTTACAAGATTCTGATTTGATTAGTTTAGATTGAATATTATTGTCTATATTTGTGAGCCTACTGTGATATTTGAAATTCCATATCCAAATGAAACTTCCATTAATTCAGGTATACTTCACATCTTAATGATTTTTCATTTTCAATTTCTTTTCTTTCTTGTTTAGGATTGTGTTTTAGAAAATGGTTCTTAATATTGAACTCCAATGTTATTCTTGTATTTGTGAGCCTACTGTGGTATTTAAAAAGCTGTCGTGGTATTTCGAAATTTTCATTGAAGTAGATTAGGTTTGATTTTTGATTGCTTCAATATACCATGGGTTATGTTGTTTGTTTTGTTATTGCTTCAATGGTGCGTGTTTCTTTTTTGAGTTTGTATCGTTTTCAGATTGCTTCAAGAAGATGTTATTTTCATCTTGGTTGTGTTTGTTTGCTGCAAATTATACAAATTGAAGGTCTATTTATATTTTTTGATGTTGTTTTTGGTACATGGACGCTAATGTCATATCAAACATTATTTACAATGAGGATTTCTGCACAATATCTTAAGTTTCTGCTCTAAGCAATGCAATAACAAGTGAAGTTAGAGTCATCATATACCAACATCCAGAGCATTAGAGTCATTAGATACCATTGTACATATGAAGTTGCTTATGGGTTTGGGGGATTAATGAAGATTAGGCTAGTACACGTGTAATGTCCCAAAAATACGACCAAAAAAAATCATTTTTAATTTAATAAAACAATATTCAAAACACCACCATAAATCCTAAATGGAACATTTGTATCAAAACATCACAATTATCAGAGTTATCATGAAATGCGGAACAATAACGTGTGTGCACTGCAATCACACCGAGCTCTTCCCTTTTGCACCATAAGTACCAAAACATAAACTGAAAACCGTAAGCATGAAGCTTAATGAGTTTCCCCCAACTGCCACATACCATACATAATAAACATATAATGGGCCCCGCCCGATGAATGTAACGGGCCCCACCCTAAATCACATAACGGGCCCCGCCCACAGAGTATAACGGGCCTCGCCCTAACTCGCAAAACGGGCCCCGCTCACTGAGTATAACGGGCTTCGCCCTAATTCTCACAACGGGCCCCGCCCAACATATAAACATACAAGTATAACAAGTAATGGCATACAGATTACCCATTGGGCCCCACCCACTAAGTATACATTCAAATGCAAGAGTCACACAGACATCTAATACACTAACATAATAAACCATGGGTCGACATTGGTGTCTTCGACCCTCTAAAAACAGTGAGGAAGACTCGCCTCAGACAGCTGAATCTCACAGATAAATCTCTAGCTGCTGGTCCGCTAAAATCCCCGCGCTATCAACATAAAATAACATCCCATTAATAACTGGATCCCAACTCACACTAAGAGTCCAAACTAGGGTAAAAGACCCTTTTTACCCTTTACCTAACTTGGCCCAAGGCCAAGGCCCGAACCAACTATCCAAAAGGCCCAAATTCCAAAATGATAATCCAAAGCCCAAATATGGCCCAATTTTCCAAATTGGGCCCAAAATCCATCATGGGCCTAAATCCAAAAAAACCCAATATCATAGACAATAAGCCCAAATCAAAATCCCAAGGCCCAACATGGTCCAAAATCAACGGTCCAAACTCCAACAAAGGATTTTCACGTCGTGACCAGACCATGGTCATGTCGTGAGGATCAACTCGAACCAGTCCCGACTCAGCGAGTCAACTCAAACCATCAAGAAGATTCCAGTCCCTGTCACATAACGACCTAACCCTAAGTCACGTAGTGACCTAATCTGGACAAAATAGATAGGATGGCCATCATCCTCACGGCCCGACAGTCCTAAACCTCACATCGTGAGATCTGTACATACCAACTTAAAAATATTAAGCTCTTATTTCTTATAACCATAACTTGGGACTTTCCATGGGGTCTTCCTTTACCCAAAGGATGATAAAAACTGTGGCTTTTCAGTCATGCATTACCAATGCATGACTCAAACTCTTACTAGACCAAAAGTGGAGAAAATGAGATCTAGACTCAAACTTGGAGTCCCAAACTACACCAAAACTAAGATCCAAAGACTATATTGAAGATAATGAGCCAATGATCCATAAAGTTGCCAACTTTATGGATCTAATGCAATCAATCCCACCTAAACATGCAAAAAGGAGCTTATAACTTAGATCTAGAATGAAAAAGGTAGAAAGGTCCAAGCTTTAAGACTTAGGGGTTGTTTGATAGTTTCTGACTGAGTAAGTTCTGAGTGAGTCAGAGCCTGACTAAGTCTGAAGTCTGACTGAATCTATATCTGACTGAAACCATGCTGTTTGATTATACGTCTGACTGACTGTACTGACTGTTGAAAATGACATTTTTACCCTTGTGTTCTATTTTTTAGTGGCATGACAAAAGAGAAAAAAAGTACATCGGCATGTAACACTCTGTTTATTTAATAAATAAATAAATGAAATTAATGAATGAATAATAGCCCTAAAAGCATAAT